GAATGCCTTCCTTCTATCCAGTCTGAATCTGCCCGCTGTTTAAAACCATTACCCCTTGTCCTATTGCTACAGGCCCTGTTAAAAGTCTGTCCACATCTTTCTTGGAAGCCCCCTTTAAGTACTGGAAGGCTGCAATAAGGTCTCTCCAGAGGCTTCTCTTCTCCAGGCTGAACAACGCCAACTCTCCCAGCCTGTCCTCATAGGAGAGGTGTTCCATCCCTCTGATCATTCTGTGGCCTCCTCTGGACCTGCTCCAACAGGTCCATGCCTTTCCTTTGGTGAGGGCTCCAGAGCTGGATGCAGAACTCCAGGTGGGGTCTTACCAGAGCAGAGGGGCAGGATCACCTCCCTCAACCTGCAGGCCATACTTCTTTGGATACAGCCCAGGATATGGTTGGCCTTCTTTATGAAAAGTGCTCGTTGTAATAATGAAATTTTTTTTCTTGGCTGAGCATATTACTGTGTTTGGTAGACGGCTCTTGGAGGTATGTTTGAATGTGTACAAAATGTCAATGTCATTATTGCTCACTGCCCTTTCTCCTCTTGGGTTTTCCCTTGGGACTGTTCTTACATGTGGTGATGGTTTTCAGGAAATTGATCACTAGGGCTGAAGTCTTACCAAAAGTCTGCCAAAGTGTTTGGCAGCAATACTGATTTAAGGTGTTTCTTCTAGTTCCCACTGTGTTTCTGTTGCCTGTGTCCTCTTCCACTGAACCAGCCAGCTGCATATATAGAGCAATGCTGTAAGCCAGCTCTGGCTAAAAAGTGCTAAATGGAATTATTTTAAAGACTGATTATTTCTTTGATACAACTGATTGATACTGTAGTGTCACTAACAGTGGAAGAGATAAGGCATGGAGGTAGGAATAAGAAATACCTTGCCAGGATAGCCATCAGACTGCTTATCCTTTATGCTCTGTAGACTGGATTTAAAAGACTCTGTGCTGTTTTTACTGATGTTCATTCTTTGTAGGTCAAGACACTTACCTTGACCACATCATTGAAGAAAAGTTTATCAAGAGGTATGTCACTGGAAAACTTCGAATTTTTGATGTATTTTAAAATAGAGAAGGGTTAAGAACTGAACTTGGAGGCTCTCTTTCAGTTACTCCTTCTTAATAAACCTCTGTATTAACAATTAGTATTTTGCAGGAGTCTGGTGAAAATAAAGGAAATTACAAGAAAATACGGGAAGAAATATTTTACTCGGTCTCCTAAAGTAGTTCTATAGCTGATGTGGCTTCTAAATTTGCAGTCCTCCTTGTAATGGATAGAATTCACTAATATAATTACATGTGCTAAAATATCCCGGCCTTAATAATTTATGGTTTACAGGGAAAAGTCTTACTTTAGACACATAGGGAGCAAGTTAAAAATGTGACATTGCTTTTAATTTTTCTGTTACCTTCACACTGTTTGGGGTTGTTTGTTGCTTTTTTCCTTCAGTGCTGTACAAGATGTGGAAAAAGATATGGAGGAAGTAAAAGTCTCTTTCCAGAACAAGACATTAGCCTTGCAAAGGTAGAATTTTGTTCCTCTTTGGATGTTTTCTGTTTTTTTCTGCAGACATACATGAATATATACATAATTCTGATTAAAATAGGATTTCAAAGTGATATGGTGTGTTACAAACATGAGAGATTGTACCACTGAACCAGTAGGAATGTAGGTGGAGATGCAGAATGTGCCATGTCCACATGTTTTTTTGAATACTTCCAGTGATGGTGACTCCACCACCTCCCTGGACAGCCTGTTCCAATGCCTGACCACCCTCTCGGTGAAGAAATTTTTCCTAATACCCAATCTAAACCTCCCCTGGCGCAACTTGAGGCCATTTCCTCTTGTTCTATCACTAGTTGCTTGGGAGAAGAGACCAACACCTACCTCACCACAACCCCCTTTCAGGTAGTTGTAGAGAGCCATAAGGTCTCCCCTCAGCCTCCTCCAGACTAAACAAACCCAGTTCCCTCAGACGCTTCTCATAAGACTTGTGCTCCAGACCCCTCACCAGCTTCGTTGCCCTTCTCTGGACATGCTCCAGCACCTCAACATCACTTCTTTTAGTGAGGGGCCCAAAACTGAACACAGGATTTGAGGTGTGGACTTGCATAGTATAGCGCAATAATATAATATGTTCTCTCATATGCCATGGAGAACAAAATATTACAAGTTGAAATGTATAAACGCAAATGTTCCTGCAAAATTGTGGAAGTCTCACCGTATAAATCAGTAAACATATTTCTTGGCAGTATTTCACAAATGCACATGAAAACTGGGAAGTTGATAAGTGTTGTATGGTTCCTGTGTTACATGGCTGTTTGTTTGAATTCCCACCTTTGCCCAGCCTCCCTTTTGCACACTCTGGGATTAATGGTGTCTGAGCATGTTTGCCAAGAAAGAAAGGAGTTGTCACTCTCACAAATAATCATTGAGATGCTTTTCTTGTCCCGAGAGTTAAGACCCATTATTTAAGCGTGATATTTGAAGTACTGATTTTTTTATATATATATATATATATATAATTCCAGTGTGAAAGTGGACATAAATGGAATGTTGGAAAGATCTCTTCTGTTACTTACTTAAATGTGTGTGTCCCAGTTTCATATCGGTTCTCATCGCTTCTCATCAGTTATGTTTCTTCCCACACTATGCAGGATCCAACTTACAGTTGCCCTGAGAAACAAATTGAAGCAAAATGATAATGACTCACGGTAAGGTGTTCTCGGGTAAAGGATGGCTAGAAAGGAATAGACTCTCACAGTTTGATGTGACCCGTTTCTACATTACTTTTACTGCACCTTTTTTAAAAGCAAGCTTCCTTCTAGTTTTGACTGAATGATATACTGTCCACCTTCTGGCTAGAATGAGCATGATCAGACTTCTGACACCCGGGGTAGATTTACATTTGGCTCTGAATTAACCTTTCATTACAGAAGTCATAATTTTTGATTCACTAGTGAGAACTGTGCTTAAGAGTTTGTCTGTAATGCATGAGTTTTCTGCGATTATAATAGTTGAGCTCACATTACATGCCTGTAACAGCACCTTGCCTCTGCTTTGCTGCCTTCACTAATTACATAGGAGCTTTAGTGTCCTTGAAAAAACTGAAAGTTTCAAACATGTTTAAAATTAGTTTTTAATTTCCTGTCTAATATTAATGGTTGCACACATATGAAGTGTAATATGATAAGTTTAATTTGTTGGAAATACAGCTGAAAACATGGCATCTCCATGATGTCCCTGCCATGTACTGGAATTCAGGAGCTTAAATTCTTAGCCATTATGTGGCTAGGCTTCCTTGACTCCTTCCAAGCTCTGTGATTTCAAATGCTAGACAGTCTTAACTGAAACATTAGAGAAACTGAGAGGGTGTGGTGGGTTGACCCTGGTTGGACGTGAGATGCCCAGCAAAACTGCTCTACCACTCCCCTTCTCAGCTGGACAGGGGAGAGAAAATGTGAGAAGCTTGTGGGTGGAGATTGGGAAAAGGGGAGATCA